GTGGTGTGCCTCGTGATTTTTTTCATGAAAAAAGTGTGCCTTTGCACAAAAAAGGTTGAAAAACACTGCATTAAACGTCTGGCAGCTGAAATCTCCCCATACTTCTCAACATTTAAATAATTTTATCTAGCAAATAAATTCCCACTTTCATATGGTGTTAAGTTTGTAACGTGATTTTCTTAACTTTTTATTGAATTATTTTCCTATTTTATCAACAACATTCCCAAACCACAGGTGCCCCCCTGTGCTATGGTGATACGCACGCATATTGCTGCCATGCTCTATAGACTGTTGTGGGAGTAAGGTGTGTGTGTGTTTTTTTTAAAGATCCTTTTGAGTCAATTTTGACTTCTGCCACCTCCCTGGACAAGTCCCTGAAGTTTCTTAGCAAGATTTTTCCAAAGTGATTTACCATTGCCTCCTTCTTAGGGCTGAGAAGGAGTGACTGGTCCAAGATCAGCCAGTCAGCTTTGTGTCTAAAGTGGGACTAAAACTCACTGTTTCCTGGTTTCTAGCCTGATGCCTTAACCATTACACCAAACTCACTCTGTGAAAGTGTTGGAACCCAGATTCTTGAAAAATGAAAATGTGTAACATTAGAATGTTGGATTCTGTGTCAAAAGCATCAGGTTCTTTTGTCAATCACAAGACTTCCCTTCACTTATCCTTTATATCGGATGGTTCTGTGTAAGAATGTGAAATAGGGCAGGCCACTCTGGATACCTCACCCGCTTCACATGTGGCCTCCCAAAACATTTTCATGCTGGCCCTTTAAATACAGTTTGGGATCCAACCAAGCAGATGCATCCATTCCAGTCTCTGCCTCTGGCAGCAGAGAGACAGCAGTCTGGCTATTATCCAACTCTCCTCCTCGTCCTTTCCAAGCCTTGCAGCAACCTTGCTTTCATCCCTGCCATGTCCATAGCAATCTCCCCACCCAAGCTGATCCTATTTTGGGAAGCTGCCAACCACATAGCAGCAGCAGCATCTCTTCTCTGAGTGGCCCAGCATGTGGCTGGTGGCCAGCTTCCTTCCCTGGCCCTGGCAGCAGTGCTGGAGATCAGGTTGCAGCTGTGCAAGGCAGAGATCTGGAGCAAAGTGAAGGAGCCTGTAGACATCCCATGGTTAAAAGGGCGAGCCATTCCCACAGCCCAATTGGCAAAGCAGCCTTCTGGGAAACAAATGTGCACAAGACCCAGCTGGATCAGGAGTTCTCAAACCAGAGGTGGGAAGGAAGTCCCATGCACAGGATAAAAATACTCGAAACCTTCATGAGATTCTGCCAGCTTAGGTTCAGGAGTCAGGGTGGAATTCTCTGTGTCATTGGACAAAAAGGAAAACACCAGCCAGACTGCCTGCCTCCCTTCTGGATTTTCCTGTATTATACCAGCATGTTCTTTATCACCATGAAGTTTAATTTGCTTTCTTGAGAAACCGGGAGCAACTGAATCTTCTCCAGTTGAGGTTCATGGAAGGATGAAGGACCAGGGGGAATAGACACTCCTGCATCACAAGCATCCCCCCCCCCATCTCCAGGGACAGCACTATATACTCTTCAGGGTCAGTTAAAGACTTAAACAGCTGCATTTGCACACATGAAAAGCTTAACTAGTTTTAACTGGAGGAATTGTAGTTTAGCATAGTGGAAAACATAGCTTGCTTGGTTAGTTTATGGTCTAATGTATTAATGGATTAATTAGCAACTCTATTAAATGGAATGTAGTCAAGAGTGTTTTGCTTGCACATGATTCTGAAGGATACATTTCAGCAACACTTCATTTCTGTCTGTTACTGCTTATGGTCTGAGCCAGAAAGCTCTGATCAATTGAGGAGGCAATAATCAATCACTGCATGGATCAGGTTACAAGCAACATATGAGAAAGTGGAAGCATGCCTCATCAAGGGCTACATTTATGCCCCTGGAGTTCAATAAATCAATAGACATAATAAAGTTATAAATAGCAGAAGAGGGCATAAAACCACAGTAGATCCAACATAAACCTTACAAGCAGCAGCAAAAATCAATCCCATTAAAAATGTAACGTATGAAGAAGTAAAATTGGTTTGACTGGGCACGGACAGCTAAATTAGGTTCATATGAGGTGAACACTCTGGAGAAGGGAGGAATGGTTGATGTGTTCACACAACACCCTGAGGCTGGTTACAATGTTACCATTTCCTGGCTTTGCACAAAAAAGTGAACTATGAATCAAACATATGAAAAGGGTTCAGACAGATATCCTAAGGTACTTTCCTATACATATTATGCATACAGGACATGTACAATCTAACCAAGGTTAAATTAATCAAGTTTAGCATGTTGTATAAATTATAGAATCATCAGGCTGGAAACCACCTTATAAATCCTCTAGTCCAGGGGTATCAAATTCATCATGTGACGTATCATGACTTTCCTCCCCTCCGCTAAACCGGGTGTGGGCGTGGCCAGTGTGTGACGCATCCAGCCTGCGGGCCGCAAGTTTGACAGCCCTGTTCTAGTTCCAACCACCATGCAGTTCTAAGCAACTTTCCTAGTTAAGCATATTTTGTTAAACACAGCCTATCAGTAGAGGAGGTTATATTCCAATTTTCAACATAAATAGCATCTCTCATAGGTACTGTGCTAATCCCAAAAGGGCATCTACAGAAGTTTCAACTTCTTGGCAAATTTGATCACTTTACCCAATCTGAGACTCAGATATGTTGAAATTCTACTGCCCTTATCTCCAACTTATACAGAGAGCCAACCACCGGACAGCAGTTTAAGAAACCTGTGTGCACAGAGAAATGCATACAACTATTTTCAGCCAACCACTTGGCTGAAGCTTGGTTAGTTTTAACCTTGGCTTTGTTTGGGTTGGTGTGTTGTGCATGTGCCTGTTTATGATCCAACTTACTGTCCAAACCCAGAAAATGTGTTAGATCAGCAAACTCAGCCAGTGTCAGTGATGTATCCGTTTATAAGCCAAGAACATGAACTCCTTTACTAGAAATAGCTGAACTGTCCAAAATAGTTATTTGCAATTTTCCTGGAGGAGTTTTGTTTCTAATAAGAGCAGCTGAGTGCTTTGCCAGATGTCATAGGTGTGTCCACACAATACCCAGCCAAGAGGTGTTTGCAAACTGAAGCTGCATGTATTCAATCAATCAAAATAGAGCTGGAAGGGACCTTGGAGGTTTTCTAGTTCAACCCCCTGCTCAAGCAGGAGACCCTATACAATTTGAGGCAAGTGGCTGCCCAGTCTCTTCTTAAAAACCTCCAGTGATGAAGCACCCACAACTTCTGAAGGCAAGCTGTCCCACTGCTTAATTGTTCCCACTGTTAGGAAGTCTCTCCTTAATTCAAGGTTGGTTCTCTTCTTGATTAGTTTCTATCCAATATGAATGGAATTACGGATGGAATGGAGTTAGGAATGGAGTTACAGGCATCGGTGACAACATATATTTGTGTGAGTGCATATGGATCTGTGGCTTTTGTGTATGAAAAACCATATAGTTTCCTAACCGATTGCTTTCCTGTAGTTTTTCTCCTCCAACAAAGGCCACAAAACTATTCTTAGAAATTGCTGACCCTATAAACTCCAGCTTTAGAGAGAAAGCAGTGAGAATTTGACCCAACTCTCCCTGATCTCGTTCTCCTATTTAAAAGCCTCAGTCAGAGTAACTTCCCACCCATACCCGGGGTGACTGATCTTGCAACTCTGGACATGCAATGGCTTCTACTCACCACTGGCTGTTTCCGTTTTCTACCAGGTCGCCCCACTTTCCTCACAGGGATTCCTGGATCTGGCTTCTCCTCCTTGTTCCGATTCTCCTCAGGATCTTCTTCTCCCTGCTTTCAGGAAAAAAAACAAAATAGAGAGACAATATTCTTCTTAGCTCTTGAGTCAGGAGGCACTTCGGCATTCCCTGTGAAAGTTTGGGGAGGGGGGAAACCTTTGTTTTAAAGGGGCATTGTCTCTTTTTTAAAGAAATGATTGTGTTCCTTTCCATCAGCCTCACTAGGGGCCTGTTCCATTTAGAACACAAGAAATGCTGAGTTTGAACTTCTTTTAAAGCCACACAAATTGGTGTTGTCATATCGTTTTCTGGTAGTGACTCTGCTTAACTTTGTGCTATGTAAAAAAGTATCACAGACAAATTAGGATTCTCTTTCAACCCAGTCTACCTCATGGGGTTATTGTGAGGGTAAATTAGGGAAATCCCACGTACACAACTTTAATAGCGTAATAGAATACTCCTATCACTGGATTTCAACAATAATGTCCTCATGCGAAGTCATTTTTTACCTTTAATCCCATTCCTGATTTCTTCAGCAACACTTCCTTTGGTGGATTTGGTTTCTTTTTTTTTCACCTCGGTTTGCCATGGCTTCCATGGTCTCACCTCTCCCATGAAGTTTACAACAAATAAGTCTACAACACATTGTGTCAAATTCCTAAACATCTGGTCCAGGGTGGGCAATGGAATAGCAAACAAGGCAAAAATGTAGATCAGGAAAACGTATAGACGATGGCCAAGGTAAAATCTTAAGGATTTACAGTTGACTAGGGCTGTCTAGGATTCAGTTGCCTAGGAAACACAGGGTAAGTTCATGAGACCCAGAGATGCAGCTAACACATTTATTTTTTGTTCTCTTTCACAGTTTTAGGCTTTTCAGGGGCAATTATGTAAGGCTGGAGATCAACTGATGAATACCATATTACTATTGTTGTTAGCATCTCCTAGATCAACCTCTTCCTTCATCCATACTGTTACACATGTATACCCTCTTTCTTTGCATTATCTTAGAAAAGGTAAAGGTTGCCCTCACAAGCATGTGCTACTCCTTTCCGGCTCTAGGGGGTGGTGCTCATCTCCATTTCAAAGCCAAAAAGCCAGCACTGTCCGAAGATGCCTCTGTGCCCATGCGACCGGCATAACTAAACACCAAAGGCACATGGAACGCTGTTACCTTTCCACCAAAGGTGGTCCCTAATTTTTATATGCTTTCTAACTGGCAGAAGCTGGGACAAGTAATGGGAGCTCACTTTGTTATAAGATGCTAGGGATTCGAACCGCTGAACCGCTGGCCTTTCTGATCAACAATTATCCCGTATTATATTATATATACAGATTTATTTCTCCATCGACTGATGCCCAGATTGCTTTGCTAAATTTTACTTGGATGCTTCCAAACTGGCAGTTTAATTCATTATAAGCTTCATGTGAAATTTCAATCAATTTGTCACCCTTTAGTCATTATACACACGCTCCCAATATGTTCTATCCATGCTTGGGAAAGTTACAAACAGTGTAGGATGCGGAAGCTCAGTTCACATACTATATTTAATAATCTATTTTTAACAGATTTGCCTTATGGTATTGGTAAGACATAATTTATTGATTTTATTGCATATACATACTATAACAATTGTATTATAAAATATGAATGAAATAATAACCTACAGCTATTAAGATGCTGCCAATCTAAACAGCAGTAAGACAGTATATTTTACATATTTGTTAAATGTGCTGTATACATATGGTTGAGTATGATATCATTAATTTAAAAAATATATTTAAGTGTTTGTAGAAATATATACTCAGGGTCATCATTTGGGTTATTTTCAAAAAATGAACATAGTATTGTATTACTCTTGTTATATTAAAAAAAACCAAACAATGAGCTAGAGCCTTTGAAGTAAGGGGTTTTATAAATCTTAAAACTAAATGAAATAGTACCATATTTTTTCTGATGATCAGAAAACAACACAACTGTTAAAAAAATACCAATCTAAAGGATTAGAACAGGATGGGGAAAAGGTATAATGAGTAGGGGGGGGAAATGGAAATTGTGGTGTCTGGTGAGTTTGTTTTGTAATATGTCCATTAAAAACATCCTTCTTGGCAATGACAGAAGAGTCGTGCTAAGAAAAATCTGCCTTTGCTGCTTTAATGGATACTCTGTGATTTGAAAAAAGATATAGAAATAGCATGGGAAACACTCAGAATAACATTTTAATCATGCACACATACCCTGTAAAAAAAAACCACATGAATAGAAGCCTGGCTATCCTATAATGGGGTAGTTATTCAGGAGAAGAAAAGCACTGCTACCAGTAGCTTTTCTTCCTTAGTTGACTTTTTCATGAAATGAAAAAAATAATAATTCTTTGGTGCCAATACCAATCATCTTGCCTGCTAGAAGCCCTGATTTAATTTTCTTTGGGTATTCTGCAAAGCTCTGCCCTTACTTATAAATTCCCACTCCACTTTTTTAATTTATTTTTTTATTTGATCTTTTGAGTCAAGCTCAACTTCTGGAGACAGGAACAAAGTCATGTAGTCATAAAGGTAAAGGTAAAAGTTCCCCTTGCACATATGTGCTAGTTATTCCCGACTCTAGGGAGCGGTGCTCATCTCTGTTTCAAAGCCAAAGAGCCAGCGCTGTCCGAAGATGTCTCTGTGGTCATGTGGCCGGCCGGCATGATTAAACACCGAATGCGCACCACCAAAGGTTACCTTCCCACCAAAGGTGGTCCCTATTTTTCTACTTGCATTTATGTGCTTTCAAACTGCTAGGTTGGCAGAAACTGGGACAAGTAAAGGGAGCTCACTCCATTACGCAGCACTAGGGATTAGAACTGCCGAACTGCAGACCTTTCAATCAACAAGCTCAGCGCCTTAGCTACTGAGCCACCTTATAGTCATACAGACAGCTTTTTCAGAAGTTCTTTCTTTTATTGCCTTCTTCCTAGGGCAAAGAGAGAAAATGACTGAGACCCAAGGGCATCCAACTAGCTTTCTCAAGTTCCCCTACTCCTAAACCAGCACCTTAATCAAGCCACTAAACCCAACCTGACCCTCCCCAAAAGAACAGCACAAATCTGTCCCTTGCAGATGCCAGTAGTTTTACTTACCAGCTTCCTCTCTGAAGCCACAACTACTGCAAAATTTATTTTTATTTCTGTAAGCTGAGTTTTGCAGTTTCAGCAATGAAAGGTTGCAGGCTCTTGCTGCATTGCTACTTTTAAGATATGCTGAATTTGCTTTAATAGTTATCCTCACCTTCTTCAATAGAGTGTAGTTGTTCCCTAGAGATGTTTGACAGAAGCTTTCTTCATCCCCAGCCCAGTGGTTGGGGAAGGGCAATTAAACCTCAAGTTCCTACACTTCTATAGCTATATAATGAGGTTCTGTCATTTTGATTAGAAAAGAAAGATGACAGAGAAGATAAAAGGATAAAGTATGCATACTGGAGTATATCAACCTTATTCTAGTATTATTTCTTGCAAATACAGTAGAATTCCTTTATTGGCCAAGTGTGATTAGACACACAAGAAATTTTTCTCTGGTGCATAAGCTCTCAGTGTACATGGAAAACAACAAAGCATAATAATCATAAAAATGATACCAATGTTTTAATTAAATGCTTATACAATTCTTTATAAGCCACAATGTAAGAACCCCTCCGCCGGATACCAGGCACGGGCAAAACACTATTCGTTAACAATATTTTTGCAATATTTGATTATAAAAAATAAGATTAATCAAGGAAAAACTGCTTTGGCTATAAAATGCTAATTGGTAATTAAAGTGAACAGGAAGCCATTGATTAAAGGAATAGAAATTGCATTAAGTCTCTGAGAAAGGAACAAGGTGGAAACTGTTAGTTAGCAGCACTGTAGAAAGGCCATTGCCAATTGGCAAGGAAAGACTGGGGCTGCAGCTGTGTTTTAGGACAAGAACAGCAGAAATCAAGTCTATGAAAAGATGGAAAGGCATAAGAGGAAAAATACTCGGAAGGGCAACATTTTGACAAGCCACTCTAGTGCATTTTCTGTGCCCTGCCTATAAAGCGTTCAGGAGCTATGTTAACGCAACTTGCTTAATCAAACCTATTACAAACCTAGTAGTTGCACTCAGACAGCATGCTAAGTTTGGTCACAGTTAGACAATCAACCCTTGTCCTGAAATATAGTAAAGATCAGCCAAAGAGGCACAGCAGTGTACGTTGAGATACTTTTTGCCAGTCAAGGATGGGCCGAATGCAAGGTAACACAGCCAGGAAGAAATGTCCCTGACCTCTAGTACTATGTGCTACAGAGATTCATATCTGCATGGTTAATTCCCTCCACTCCAAATGCATCAAGGTTGGTTACAAAATTGTCAATACCTTATTATTTCCCCACCTCAGCTCATAGGGGCATTTTATATGTAATAAGGAATAGTGGCTGGAGCCGCGATGGCGCAGTGGTTAGAGTCAGTGGTGGGTTTCAAAAAATTATACTACCGGTTCTGTGGGCATGGCTTATTTTGTGGGCATGGCTTGATGGTCATGTGACTGGGTGGGCGTGGCCAATTTAGCTGTCCATTTTGTCAATTTAGCAGTCTATTAAACAATACACAGCAAACCCCTTTTCTATACTTTTTAATAAGTTTTTGCTCTAGGTTTTTTTTTTACTAGGGGAGAGAGGTTAGCAATGCCTGGGGATTTCTCCTCTGTATTAGAGGCACCAAAATAATCAAGATGATATAAAGTCTCCTCTTAGAGCTCCACTATTGATTAGCTTAGCCCGAGCAAGAATCGCCAGTAGCACTTTCAATAAGCTCTCAACTCAAGCTCCATGCCAGAGGTCTGCAAACTTGGCAACTTTAAGACTTGTAGACTTCAACTCCCAGAATTCTCTAGCCAGCAGAGCTGAATTCTGGGAGTTGAAGTCCACAAGTCTTAAAGTTGCCAAGTTTGTACACCTCTCCTCTGTGCACTTGGGGATCCCAAATGGTGAGGATTTCTTCCTTTCTCCCTTGAAGCACCTGCTGGGGGGGGGGGCAGGGGAAGGTAAGGTTGCG